CCTTAATACTCTTATCCGAGGTCGAGTCCGAACCTCGTTAAAATCACGAGGTCGAGTACAAACCTTAATACTCTTATCCGAGGTCGAGTCCAAACCTCGTTAAAATCACAAGGTCGAGTACGAACCTTAATACTCTTATCCGAGGTCGAGTCCGAACCTCGTTAAAATCACGAGGTCGAGTACAAACCTTAATACTCTTATCCGAGGTCGAGTCCAAACCTCGTTAAAATCACAAGGTCGAGTACGAACCTTAATACTCTTATCCGAGGTCGAGTCCGAACCTCGTTAAAATCACGAGGTCGAGTACGAACCTTAATACTCTTATCCAAGGTCGAGTCCGAACCTCGTTAAAATCACAAGGTCGAGTACGAACCTTAATACTCTTATCCAAGGTCGAGTCCGAACCTCGTTAAAATCACAAGGTCGAGTACAAACCTTAATACTCTTATCCAAGGTCGAGTCCGAACCTCGTTAAAATCACGAGGTCGAGTACGAACCTTAATACTCTTATCCGAGGTCGAGTCTGAACCTCGTTAAAATCACGAGGTCGAGTACGAACCTTAATACTCTTACCCGAGGTCGAGTTTGAACCTCATGAAAACTCACCTAACTCTATTATGAGGTCGAGTACGAACCTTAATACTCTTACCCGAGGTCGAGTTCGAACCTCATGAAAATTCACCTAACTCTATTATGAGGTCGAGTACGAACCTTAATACTCTTACCCGAGGTCGAGTTCGAACCTCGTGAAAATTCACCTAACTCTGTTATGAGGTCAAAAGTGAACCTTAATACTCTTATTCGAGGTCGAGTCCGAACCTCAGGTCGAATTCGAACCTTCCCGAAAAGAGTCATTTAGCGAAAAACCAAGGTCGAGGTCTAACCTCGACATGACCAACTCGGAGCAAAGTATCACCACGCATAAAAACACACAACAGACACCAAACGTGTCTCAAAACGCGCAAAAATAGTAAAAATTAAGCGCAAATAGACAAAGCAAAATACGCACAAACAAAACTATGTTTACCAAGTCCAATACATGAATTCGAAGAACGGAAAAATAAAACAGAAAAACATTAACTGGCCTACGCAGAGGCGTTTTTACTGGAGCTACCCTCGAGGTCATCCTCCTTTACCAACTTCCCAAAGCAGACTACCTTCTCCACATGCATGGCAGAGAAGTCGAAGCCCGGGGCGAGAAGCCTTGCCTGACGAGTCGCCTTGAGGAAACCACGCTTATGCTCAACCACGATAGCTCGTTCGGTTTCCCCCAGCCTCTGCTCCAGCGCCGCCCTCTCCGCCTCCTGCTTGGCCAGCTCCGCTTTTAAGGCGGCGACCTCTTCCTCTTTGCCGCCGATCACGACCTCGTCACAGAGGCGCTTCTCAGTCGCCGTCGCCAGCTCAATCTTCAAAGAGGTCAATTCATCCTCCAAAGAGCGAACCCGACCACGGGAGGACGTCACCTTATCTTCGAGGAAGCGCACCCGACTTCGGGACAAAGAGGCCAACCCCTGCAGCTCGCCCACCTGAGAAGCATAGTTCTCGTTCGAGCGTAGAGCAATCTCTAGGGACTTCTGCACCCTCGCAAGATCCCCCCTCGCGGCTCGCAATTCGACACTTAGGCCCTTGTTCTCCTCCTTCAGGACCTTATTCTCCCCCTTTAGGACCTTGTTCTCGTCCCTTAGGGGTTGAACTCGCCCCCTCAGTCTGGCTAAATCCTCCTACAGTTTGGACCACTGAGGCTTCCAGTGGCCATATATATATATATATATATTGTATTAATCATCAAAAACTTATAGTAATTTTTTTTAGCTGGATAGTAAAACTTTAGCCATATATATAAGGATCCATTTTTGAGTCTACATGATTGACACTACACTTTCATGAAGTAGTTATACGTACATACAAGACTTTCATGAAGTGTCGTACATATAATAGCAAAACATATAGGGAAATCAGTCCTATCTACCCCACCATATATACATAGCAAAAAGGTCAGTCTAACTTAATTGTCACTACCTCGTCCCTGTGCAAAAAGGTGTCCTTTCTCCATGTTAAATCCTCTGTGGTCTCATCTTCAAAAATCTCTAAAGTTATGGAACTATGAGTACTCGAAGAAAGAGAAGAGGGGTTAGATCCATCGTGGTATCCATTATTGAGAACCCACGGTCCATGAATCGGAGATTTAGCAAGGACAAACTCATGCTCAGGACCTACTTCCTCTTCTGGTGATGGCTCTCCAATATGAGTAGGGACTGCCTCCTGAGGATCTCGCTCAGGGGATGGAGGTACCACAACAACTAGAGCGGCTAGAATAGGATCGGAGGTACAAGAGGTGGATGAGCAAGGTCAAACAGTACCAGGAAAAGATAAGCTAAAGTAATATTGTGTAACATAGATACTAGTGATACTATGGAGGTCTATAGGAAATTGTCATGATAATCTAAGCCAACCTCTATACTTGGGGCTCTTCCTACTATCTAGTTAATGCTCAATGAGACTGTGATAAGAGGGTAGTCCATTTTCATAAAGTCCCACATGCACAAAAATAGAAAGCAAATACAAGGAGTGAGAAATATTGATCTCAACTCTTGTAAAGGTAAGAATACTTACCTATTAGACTCTTATAGGGGAAACTAGATTTCAATCTAGTTATACTTACATGACACTAATATAGTATGGATCCATACTTCCACGTTTTGGAAGTGATTGGAATTACATACGTCCCTACCCATAAATGGTACGATTCAATCTCTCGGATGAATCTCAATATATTCTTCCTACTATCTAGTTAATGCTCAATGAGACTGTGATCAGAGGGTAGTCCATTTTCATAAAGTCCCACATGCACAAAAATAGAAAGCAAACACAAGGAGTGAGAAATATTGATCTCAACTCTTGTAAAGGTAAGAGTACTTACCTAGTAGACTCTTATAGGGGAAACTAGATTTCAATCTAGTTATACTTACATGACACTAATATAGTATGGATCCATACTTCCACATTTTGGAAGTGATTGGAATTACATACATCCCTACCCATAAATGGTACCATTCAATCTCTCGGATGAATCTCAATATATATCAATGGGATATTCCTATCCTTATCCAAAATCTGGGACATACTCTCATACCAATCCTGGAATGCTGCAGTAGTTGTCAGGGTTACTGAGTTGGTTAGGTGGAGACTCTAATACAAGGTTCTACCTTAACCCTTGGTTTTCTCAACCTCCTTGTACCCTAACCCCAAGGTATTCTCACTAATGTGAGACCCTCTGCCTTTCATCCTTAGCTTTGCTAAGTTGTAACTTTCAGTGAAGGGCATCATGTCGTCACATGTCCCTTGCGGCATTATCTTTCATATAATATTACCGTAAAAACTCATTATATAGAGTTTTATTGGTCTCAGTCTTCCTGAGCACCAGTACACAATAATTTATAAAGTCATCTCACATGATACGTTATTGAAGCAAAATGACATTAACCTATAATTCTTAAACAACTCATTATAATAGTAATTAGGAGTGAATGTAATTCAATTAACATAATAACATTATTTTATAACTTAATTAAAATATCATACTTTAAGTAATTAAAATAACTTTGTAGTTTATCATGAGACAACCAAGCAGATTTTTTTTTAAAAAATCTTTAAAATAGGAGACAATTAATTTAAATTCTTCTATATCTACATTATTAAAATACATGAAATTAATTTTTAAATTGATAAATTTGTATTTAAAATAAAATCACAAAATTTATAAGAATTTATCCAATTCCATATGCTACTAGAAAACATATTTCAGAAATGTATTATATCAAACCAAACATTTTTGGTAGTTTAAAACCTTGTAAAATAATTTAAAATTTTCTAATGTTTAACACATTTAATAAGATTTTCAAAAAGGTAAAATTCATAATATTGAATGATTCAAAGTGTTCCTACCTTCCCATATCTAAAAATTTCAGGTTCACCTTCCAAAAACAATTATTTTAAAATAATAAATCAAACATAAAAATTATAAAATTTATATGTGTGGAAATAAACGTCATTTTGAGAAGCAAATATCTCCATATTTAGAAAATCTTTTAAAGCAATTTCAAAGGCTAAATTGAAGCTCTTTGAGTCTAGTTTATAACCCAACCGGTTTCATATTATATGGATGAGTAAAACGTGATTTATGATTTTTTATTAACAGATGTTCATTGAAGTACTGGGCTGGCAGATTTTCTGATTAGGAGTTCTTAATTATGGAAAAAAAAAATAGCAAATGAGTTTCCTAAATTCTAGAAAAAATTTGGTAGAGTCTCCCCTGTATTTAGAATATTTTCCAAAAGTAAATTTAGCAAAATAACATTCCAAAAGACTTTTAGAAATCCCAAAGTTCAACAGATTCACAATATAATCCAAATTTCTCATTTTACATTAGTAAAATAAAAGAACAATATATCAACATGAGCAAAATAATACATATCAAAAGATCATTTCTCACTCTCCCTTACCTTAAGTAAGTGGAAAATGATGGAGAAACTTTTGAAATGGAGCCTTGAAGGTTGGAGATGGTTAGCTTATCATGGATTTTGAAATATAAAAGAAGAAGTGTAAAAAAAAAAAAAAGAAAGAGGGAGAATTTTGGTGAAGAGGGAATAGAAACGAGAATAGAAGAGGAGGGATGAGGATATGTCAGTTTGTGGGAGAGTAAAAGAGAAAAAGACAAAAGAGAAAGTGATAGATGTCATCAATAATAAGGAGAAAAAAAAAGATATATATATGTATATATATATATATATATATATATATATATATGTATGTATGTATGTAAATGTAGATAAGATAATGTAAGTGGATGAGGTAGTAATTATTTATTTTATTAAAAATATTGATTATGATAAGATTATCATAAGTGCCTCTTTATCAGTAGATTTAACATTAACTTTTTATTTAAAATTTTTGAATTTTATTAATTATTTTAAATTTTTTATCAATTATTTTAATATTTCAAGGTTAAAAATTTATTTTAATATATATAACATGATTATTAGCTCAAAAGACCATTTTATAGTTTTCTAAACTTATTTTTTCTCACCAACCCCTAAATATAGATAAATAGGGGTGAAATCATCATTTTCATGATTTTTCAATTTCTGACTCGAAATAATTATTAAAAATCACGATTAAGTAGAGTTTAAAATTTTGATCAGTGATATACATTAGAATTTTGAGATTCTTTTTTGATTTCCAAGTATAAAGTCTTAAAATAAATAAACAAATATTGAAAATTGGGATGTTACATGGTTTATATACCAGTAAGTGACTAAATTTGTGCAACAGGTAATTGTGGTTGTAGTGAAAAATCTCATAAGGTTATGTGATGGGAACTGGACGTAGCCTAGTTAGGGTTAATTAATATAAATCTTGTGTGTAACACCCCTCAGATTTGACGTCTCAACGACTCCACTTCACGACACTTCAAACTACGACACTTCACACAACATTATTGTTAGTCGAAACCCTTCACCAGTCAGAACCCTTCGTGGGTAACCCTTTCTGAGACTTTCTAAGAAACTTCCCAGAAGGTCACTCATCCCTAAATTACTTCTAGTCAAACACACTTAACTATGTTCTTATGGGATAAGCTACCGAAAAATAGATGCATCTTGTTGGTATAGGTAGTACAAATTAATTCCTTTAAGTCATCCTTATTTATATGATCTCATACTTGTACAATCTCTAGATCCCTCTCATTTCGATGTGTCCGAGCTGTTACACTATGTCCATTCTTTTTTCCGTATATTTTTACTTGTTTAATTAGCTTATTGCATTTACCGTTACATGACTGCATAATTTTAATCATAAACAAGTAAACTCTAAAATTGTTCCAAAAAAATACACTTGGTATAAAAACTAATTTTACATAGATGACTTGTCTTTTGAGAAACTAATTAGAAAATAAACAATTTTTTTTAAAAGGAAACAATTCAACCCTTTTTCTTTTATTCTAACAATTACTTCAAAAGGATAGTTCATAAATTAAACTTGCTTAACAAAATTGAAAGACACTTACTTAGATAGGATCAATGGATGATCATATAGGTTTATGGCCTAGATTGATGACTTTCATTGCACTTGGGAGAGGTGTGAGTTTAAGATCTCCTAAAGTAAGAGAATCTACATTATAATTTATGATAGTGGGGTCATATATTTGTATGGCCTCTTCCATATAGTTGTACCCTATCCTTTAACCAAAAATTTTCCTCATTGACTAATTTAAAAGTCAAAATTATAATATTTTATCCATGTTAACCATCTACGACAAAGATAAAAACCAATTTCATAAAATATCTCATCAATAATGTATAACCTATTCTCTATGTTAGCCTTTTACCACTTAATCTTTTTATATATAAAAAAAATACATTTTTATCTATATTATATAATTCTTAATTGTAATATAACAAAATGTTATTAAATACCCCAAATCACGAGCAAATGTGATTTAATACAAATTAAAGAAAAGTAATGGAATGAATGGCTAAAATCACCTAAGTGTTAAATTTGAGTCCCACATCAAAAGAAAATGAGAGATTTTGATAGAGAATAGTTCATAAATTAAACTTTATTACCTACATTAAAAGATACTTACCTGGATGGGGTCAATGGATGATCATTTGAGTCCATGGCCTAGATTGATGACCTCCATTGCACTTAGGAGGGGTGTTAGCCTAAGGTCTCCTTAAGTAGGAGAGCCTACATCATAATTTGTGGTAGCGGGGGCCTGCGTTCGCGCAACCCCTTCCAATATTAATATAATGTTTATGTTTTTATTTTATTAAAATTAAAAGTTATATATGTAAGTATCAAGTCAATTTTTTAAAACCTATTTGACTTATTTTGAATGTAAGTTTTAATTTTAATTAGGAATTCCTCACACTAACCAAAAATATTTTTCTATGACTAATTTAAAATTTAAATTATAATGTTTTCTCCATGTTAACCATCTACGAGAAAAATACCAGTTTCATAAATTGTTTCATCAATAATTTAAGACTTTTTCTCCATTTTAGCCATCTACCACTTAAAAAAAATCAATTAATAGGATTTTATCTATATTAATCTATCACATAATTGCATTGCATCAAAATGTGAATAAATCTATAACATCATAAGAAAATAGGATGCAATATAGATTAAATAAAAAGTAATGTGGTGAATATCTAAAACTATCATTGGTGTGCCAAGTTGAGTCCCACATCATAAACAGGTTGGAGTAAATGGATGAATAGGAAGGTCTATGGCCTAGTTTGATGACTTTCATTTAGGGATGACAAGAATACTCATATCTACAAATATTAGTGGATAAAACCCATTATGAGTTTTAAATGGATAATTAAATGTAAACCAATTTAATAATGGGACAAGAACGAGTAATAAAGTATTTGTACGCAAATATCCACACTGAAAATATTAATACTATTTTTTAATTATTATATAAAGTAATTTTATTTAATTAATTTTTTATATAAATATATTGCCATAATTATTTATATTAGTATGAATATTTGTTACAAAATTATTTTTTAATATAAATATATGTTTTAAAGTTATTTATTTATTTTTTTTTATTTTATTTCTTATTTTTTCTTAAAAACTTCACATTTTAACAAATATATCCATGGTTAGCCATAGACTCCCACGAATTTATAGAAAATTCACATACCCATTAAATGGATATTCGTTCTAAAAACGATTTATTTAAAAAGAAATTTTTGTTCTTCTCCATCATATTCAAAAACCCTTTACATTAGCGACAACCATAGTTTCGTGAGCGAAATTATCTTATATATAAGTGGACTAATGACACTTGTAGTGGAATAAAAAAAATAATTATTAATCCATTTGATTTATTATCAAGAGTCTATACTTTTCCAAAGGAAAAGATAAAGGATAACAATATAAAAAGATGAAAAAATAACATAAAAACATATTTATGGTTCACATGTATAGGTATATTTACATGTATTAGTTCAACTTATTTTGAAAGAAAAATTAACATTATTTTTTCTCAAATTTGTTAAGAAACTTTTGAAAAAGAAATGTAAGGCTATTAGTGTTGCAAGATAATTAATAAAAATATTGATGCATGATAATTATTGGAATAAATTTTGTCACATAAAATTAGTAAAATAAAGTTTACAAGTTAGAGAAGGAAAATTTTTTCAACATAAAATATCATGTTTTTCTACTTAATTGAAAAACTAATTTGTTTAATTATAATATGTAATACTATGTGTTTTAATGATTTTAATGCATGATGGTGTAATATATGTTGCTATACGATATTATGTTGTGTTCATAGTCTAAGATTTCCTCAAGTGAGAGAGCTTACATCATAATTTGTGGTAGTGGGGACTATGTTTGTGTGAATCTTTTCAATATTAATACAATATATTTATGTATTCTTTTAAAAATATATTAAAAGCTATAGATGTAAAGATCAAATATTAAATCAAATTTATAAAACTCATTAGACTCATTTTGAATATAAGTATCGATTCTAATTATGAATTTCTCACTCTAACCTAAAATTTGTGACTAATTTAAAAGGTTAAATTATAATATTTTCTTCATGTTAACCATCTACGACAAACCAATTTTATAAATTATCTCATCAATAATTCATAACATTTTATCCATGTTTACCATCTACCACATGTATATAACTTTTTTTTAATAGATTCTTATGTATCTAACATATTGTTATATATCAAAATGTTAATAAATTCACCAAATCATAAGCATATGTGATGCATACAAATTAAAGAAAATTATTGAGATGAATAGATAAAACCATCATTTGTGAACCAAGTTAAGTCTCATGTCATAAGAAAATGACAACTTTTGATAAAGGATAGTTCATAAATTGAACTTGGTTAAAAAAATTGAAAGACACTTGGATAAGATCAAAGGATGATCACATAGGTTGATGGCCTTGATTGATGACTTTTATTGCACTTGGGAGAGGTGTAAGTTTAAGATATCCTCAATTAGGAGAGTCTACATTATAATTTGTGATAGTGGGGTCCTACGTTCGTGTGACCTCTTCCATATAGTTGTACCTTGTCAATTAACCAAATATTTTCCTTAGCAACCAATTTAAAAGTCAAAATTATAATATTTTCTTCATGTTAACCATCTATAACAAAGATAACCAATTTCATAAAATATCTCATCAATAATGTATAATATCTTTTCTATGTTAGCCTTCTGTCACATAATCTTTTTATAATAAAAAAACACATTTTTATCCTTTATTATATGATTATTGATTGCAATCTATCAAAATGTTATTAAATTCACTAAATCAAGAGCAAATGTAATCTAATACAAATTAAAGAAAAGTAATTGAGATGAATAGCTAAAATCACCTAAGTATTCAAAGTTAAGTCCCACATCGAAAGCAAATGAGAGTTTTTTATATATAATAGTTTATAAATTAAACTTGATTAGCTACATTAAAAGATACTTACCTGGATGGGGTCAATGGATGATCATTAAGGTCCATGGCCTAGATTGATGACCTTCATTGCACTTGGAAGGGGTGTTAGTCTAAGGTCTCCTCAAGTAGGAGAGCCTACATCATAATTTGTGGTAGCGGCCCCTTCCAATATTAATACAATATTTATGTTTATGTTTTTATTTTATTAAAATTAAAAGCTATAAATGTAAGTATTAAGTTAATTTTAAAATACTTATTAGACATGTTTTGAATGAAAGTTTGTTTCTGATTAGGAATTTCTCACTCTAACCAAAAATATTTTTCTATTACTAATTTAAAAGTCAAATTATAATATTTTTAAAAATTATATAAAGTATTTGTATATGTAGATACCAATACTTTAAAAATATTAATAATATTTTAATTATTATATAGAGTAATTTATTTAATTAATTTTTACTATAAATATATATGTCATGATTAGTTATTTTGGTATAAATATTTGTTACAAAAGTATTTTTAATATAAATATATGTTTTAAAGTTATTTACTTTTAGTTTTATTTTATTTCTTAAAAACTTCACATGTTAACAAATATATCCATGATTACTTGTGGGTACCCACAAATTTATAAACAAAAAAAATTCACAAATACCCGTTAAATGGATATTCGTAATAAACAAGGGGGTAATGATAGGATACTAATTGCACCCACCTAAATCCATTGTCATCCCTACCTCCATTACACTTGGGAGGGACGTGTGAGTCTAAGGTCTCCTCTAGTAGAAGAGCCTATACATAATTTGTGATAGTAGGGGCTTACATTTTTGTGACTCTCGATCTCCAACTTTAATATAATGTTTATTATTCAATTATTGTTTAAATGTACCATTTATGTGTGTTTTATACTAAGCAAGACTTTCAAAGTTGTATCTTTCACTACCCTTCTAGCTATGCTAAGAGCATGACTTACAAAATTCTGACATTTCTTAATTGATTGTCTGCTAATAAGTATAACAATAGCCTTATCATTAAAGCAATTTGTTCTGTTTAATTTGATGTTGTCATTTACTCAGTGCTTTTTAATCTTTTAATCATAAATTGAAATGTTTTCTATTTCAACATGAACTTTTAGCTTAGTCATACATTGAAATGTCATTTATTTCAACATTTCATGATTAGATGTCTATTGTATCTGTTAAATACATTTCTTAGGATTATGTATGATTAGTAGGCTATGCAACTAAATATATTTTGAAGATTTTGAGTCTTTTTTTTGGTGAGGTTTTACTTTTGAAGCTCATATAATAGATAAATATAGTTTGCTCTTCTAGAAAATGATCTAAACTTTGATACCTTCCTTTAAGATTTTATCATTTATTTGGGAGGGTCAAGCAAAACAGTATTAATATTATTAATATCTTGTTTACTAGGTGGAAAATGCTTATTAAAGTATAAAAAATAAAAAAAAACATAGCATTCTCCATACTAATGTATTGTATTACTTATATTTAATTTATATAAATCATATTTACATGTGAGAGATTAGATTACATATTTTATTAAGAGAAACATATAGTTAAAAATATATGGAGAAAGCTTTCTTCAACAAAGTTATTTTTGTGAAAAAATAAAGTAATATAAACCTAGACTCAATTTCACACAATTTAAATTAATACATATGCTTAATCTTAAAGTCATGTGTAGCAAACGAGTCCCACATCCAATGTTGCTATACAAAATTTATGTATTTGATAAGTGAATATGATTGAATCTCAAATTATAAGCAACTAAGAGTCATCATGAGGTTTATAACCTACCCTAGTACAATCAAAGAGTCGTCATGAGGTTTATATCATATGAAACTTTGATTAGCCTTTATATATTTATATCATATGAAACTTTCATTAGCACTCCATTAGTATATAGATCAAGTATACAATTTTTTCCAAAGTTTGAAAATCATATGAAACTTTTTTATATAGATTCAAATTAACATAAAAAATTATTTTTCTGAATGTCCATGAATTTGAATTAATGAAATAAAGTGTCATATTTAAAAAAAAAACAAGTACACTTAACCTACACATTAAAAACTTTTAATTTAGTGATTAGTTCGTTTAAATTTAATATAGAAAATAAGTAATTGAGTAGAGTAAATCTACTATGACTTACTCTTAAAGTAAATAGATCCCTCCTTATATGACTTACTCTAACGGTAACTCATGGTTGAGTTATTCCCCTCAATAACTCATGGTTAACATTGAACTTCTATGATCCTAATTAAGAGTTATTCACAAACATATATTATATGTTAATTTCAGTTTATGTAATAAAGTATCAAATAACTTTCTAACTTTTCAAAAATTGATAAAATTTTATGTAAAGAAATGAAATTCATTAATTTAAATGTCTTAATTAATCCTATATATTTATTTTTATAAATATTATATAATATTCTTCATTTAAAATTATATTTTTTTCTCTTCATTTTTCTCCAATACTTTGATATACATTCGAACAAGGTTTTTATGTCACTTTGTTTTACATGATATGATGAACATTATGTGTTGCAAATAGAAGCAAATCGAGAAATTTTCTTTAGTTGGGCAAAAAATTAGTCTTTAAATATTTTAATGAGGAAAATATTACAAAATACATAATCTTATGACAAAAAAAAATTAAAATACCTATGTTTCTACAAATTATAATTGTATTCTACATATTTTTATATTTAAAAAATATGTATGATTTTTTCATTATCAATACTATAAAAAAAAAATATTTCTCTTTGTGTGTAAAAATTTTTTCTCCTTTTTTTTCCTTTATTAAAATATTAGTTTATAGAAGCAACACTTATTTTTATATGGGGCAAAAAATGTATGTTAAATCAAAGGACAAATTAAGACCCCTTAAATTTTATATTTTAATGATTACAAACAAGCATTTTTGTAAAGCATAAAAAGATCATTCTATAAGATGTACGATAGCATAAATCAAAGTAATTAGTGTTAAGACAGACGAAGCGTTTCCCAGCAAGGTTTTGAATGAGACAAATATAATACATGTTGTTATCTCTAACAAGTGTGTTAGTGTTTCAGAAAAATATAAGTACAGGCAAGATGGAGTATAGAGCATGATCCCAAGTCAAACGAAAGGCCAAATCAAGAACAAGACAAAAGTGTGTCAAACACAACCTAAAGCGCAACATAAAGACTTAGACGAAGGTTGGTCAAAAACATATCAGATGAAGGACAATACAGACTAAAAAGTATTCTAGACAGAAACAAAGTTTGTCCATTTATCATAATGATCAGACTAAGACGAAGGTCAAGATTGAGATGAACAGGACTAATAGACGCAGACGAAGACTGCCAAGCAAACACTTAAAGAATCAAGTCTCAAAGGACAAATCAAGGCATCATCTATGACCATACAAAAGCTCCCAAATGAATGCACAAGAAATAGAAGAAGAAAAGTAAGAGAAAATCAAGCGCATAAGTAAAAGTATGCATATGTCAGAAAAAGTACATCACTTTTTTAGATAAGGACAACACTCCATAGCTACGTGACCAGAAAAGGACAAAAAATTTCCTAGGTCTCTCCTAAATTCAGACACAACTACTAACAAGGCAAGAAGAATTCACGCAATGTCTATGAACAGGAAGCACCATTTAATGCAAAATTCTAAGCATTAAATGAAAAATTAAACTAGTCATGAACGACTATATCCACTTCAACGAACACTTGCAATAGGCAGATTTCAAAAGACTATATATGGGTAATAACGTCGAACTTGGAGACATTGGCTATTTGGCTAAAAATGGTTCAAGCAAGAACACAAAGTGATATTTAGCCCATGATGCAACAAAATCAGAGATAAAGCATATAAAGTCAAATGTATCATAGTGTATTCATCTCTATAAACTAAGGAGTTTCAAACATGTACATCTTAGGAACAAAACCTTAATGAGTGTACCAACTTATGTATCCTCTCTATGAGAGTAAATCAAACCCTCAGTAGTTGCAAAGACTAAGGTTGAATACCTTAGTCAGTGTAGAAACCTATGTATCCACTCAATGAGAGTAACCCATACACTCAAACCAAATCTTCCTAGTTAATATTTTTAATTCCTGAAGAGTCTAAGGAAAGAATACTTGTAAAGCCTGGAGAGGCTTGTCAAAGAATACTCACTACGAGCCAGAAGTGGCTGAACAAATAATACTAGCGCTAGTAAGTGAAGTTGGCGAGCCAGGAGTTGGTTGATAATACTCATTGGGAGCCAGAAGTGGCTGATTAAAGAATATTAGCATTGATGAGTGAAGTCAACGGGCCAGGAGTTGGTTGAGAATATTCATTGAGAGCCAGAGGTAGCTGAGGAAAGAATACTAGCCTCAGCAGGTGAGGTTGACGAACTAGTAGTGGTTGAAAATACTCGGGCAACCATAAGTGGTTTAAGAATACTAGCATTTGTGAGTGAAGCAGACGAGCTAGAAGTGGTTAAGAATACTTGGGACCAGGAGTGGTCGTGACCTAGATGGTCTATAATACTCACTACGAGCCTGAAGAGGCTGAACCAACAATACTTGTACTTAATTGTTTATCT